CCACGGCTGAGATGTTATCACATGTGATTGTGCAGCGGAAGAACGCGATAAACTGCGCGGCGGGTGCTGGGAGGAGGCAGGCGGGCGAAAGGATTAACTGATATTGTTGTTTACAGCATTTTGAGCGTGCTTGGCCCTCTACAAACAAAGGGGAAACTCAAGCAGTGGCTATTGTCCATTGCAAATACTTTGCCCTACGACATACAAGTCACATCACAAGTCAGATAAGACTGTGTCAATAAGGTATCTTTTTTTCTTTTGCTCCTTGCAAGCCAATAAATACTCTAATTTCAACATGATGCATCTGCCTATGCACCTCTAGATTCTAATAAAAGAAAAATCAATGTGCTGGATTTCCAGTGTATTTTCAAATTATGCCTTGGAAGCCAGGAACCAGCCCACCCTGAACTTTCAGGTGTTTCTAATCTCACTTGAGAAACAAACCTGGAGGATGCAGTTGGGCCAGTCTCCTCTGCCATCACTTTTAGATTCCGCACTGAAAGTTAGAGAAGTGGTCTCACTTTTTGGAGAATTTGAGCTCAAATCCAGATTGAGGTGGGTGGAGGTTGGGGTGCTCCATGGAATCTCCTTAACACTTTTCCTGCAGATACCTCTTAGAACTTCACTAGCAATAGGAGCTTCCCCCAAAGCCACCCGAAGCCACGTAAAGAACCCAAAAAGCTTGTTGAAAAGAACTAGTACAAAAGAGGCTACTTACAGGAACTCAGTAAGACCAACAGCTTTAGTTCATTTTCTGTTGCCTAAAAAGTACTGTCCAAACTGACCTGTTGACCGTGTAGAGTGTCTACGAGAAACCCCTGCTTAAGGATGCTCTGTGGAAGGATGCTGATCTGGGATCAGTTGTGCAGGTGGCTACCAGAGTAGCTCCACATGCCTTGGGCCTGCTTAATGAAAACAGCCGGAATTAATTACATAAATAAAATAAAATACTTTGAGTGGGTGCTAGAAGTCTGGCTTAATTTTGGTTAAGACATTCAGAAATAATTGAAAGAATCGGTCAATACTCACATGTATTTTAACAGCTTGTCCAGTGAGATCTCTCTTGCTCCCTCTCTTTCTCAGGATTTCAATTATATGCCATGATAATAATCATTATTTTTTGCTAACTTTGGAATAAATAACTTGTCAACATTTATTAACTGAGCAGGGATACACCAGATTGCAATTAAATTTTCAGATATAGCATTTTTCTGTACCTTCAAGTGTAAACATGGTTAGTCCAGTTTCAGCCAAGTCTCTTCCATGATTGCATGGTCTAGTGAGAAAAATCTAAAAAATTGATAAACTTTGAAAGATAAATACGCCGACACAAAATTCAGCACACAACGTGAAGAACCCCATACTACCTAATTGTGCACAGGGTGATAATTTACCACTGATTAAAGAGTTTGTATTTTTTTCAAATCTTTTTTAAAGGGAAAATTACTTCTGAAGGTGAAGATGTGCTTAGACAATCATATTAACATATTCAAACAATTGCAATTTGCAAAATAGTAATTACAACTCACTATCTGCTAGCATTAATCAAACTTCAAGGTTTAATTCCATTTTAAATATTGATGAAATGTGATTCTCCAATCTAACCCTGGTGTTGCAGGGTTATGGAAGCAGCCAGTGACAGAAAAAAGAGGAGCGTGTAGTTAACAAGCAGCTGCCACAAAGAAGGATCGGCATCTGTGATTTAAATTGTTAGCTGCACAGTCAGGTAGAGTGTAAAAAGGGTAGTCAAGAGGCTGTTAAGTCCATTGCTGCCAATTACTAACAATCAGGGAGGAGCTTTAAGACTTGTTCAGTACAATAAACCCAGTTTGTCTTGTTTCAGGGGTTACTACTGAAGAGGTTGCAGCTGCACTGATTCAAATAGCCCTAAAACTACAGTAATTATCAACCAGTCTTCTTTAGTGTAGCAAAAGTATGTTTTACCATAGCTTAACTCTTTACATTCTAATATTTCACTGCCTCTTCTCACATAGCTAGCCCCGAAACCCTTTGGATCTCTGGGTTTATGGTTCTTCTAGCCATGCAGGATCTATTCTTTCATTTTGCCTTGCCCAGACCAAGGAGCTCTCGTGTAGCACCCTCGGGTTGGAAGACAGCACTGGCTGTTCTGGGAATTTGCCTTGAGATTATATTCTGGAATATTAAATCATGCCTTTTTTTTCCTTTCCATATACACAGTTGAAATTCATACAGCTTGTTCAGTTTTTACAGCTGATTAACTTACATGTAAGTTAATCAGTGCTTATTAACATGTGTTTAATTTGCATGGGATCAGATCTCTGTATGAACCAAGCCATTTTGGGAAGGGGCTGGGAAGGTGAGGACGCTCAGAGCAGGCTGCCTCGTTGCTCTCCTAAGAGGCCGTGAAAATGCAAAGTGCAGAAAGAAACAACACAGACAGCCCAAGGGTGTGCTGGAAACGGTGATACGAAGCCAAGGAGAGCCTCTGCCTTTCCTAGTGCTCATAGCTTTGATGCTCAGCTATGTGACCATGATAGATTTTACATTAGGACCACGATAGATTTTACACTAGGAAGACAGACTGCTTATTTTTAGTACTCAGATGGGTTACATATATCATTACCAAAATGAGATAGAAAGAATAGATAGAATGATGTATAGCACATGTAAGTTTTGTTTATTCTTTCACAGACAAATAGACAAAGTTTCATTTCCTTGTAATTACTACAAGCTCAGAAAAACCGTTTTTCTTTTAAATCAAGGAGATACCAGCTCAGATCACAGATACCCGACTGGACAATGTCTGCCCGCATGATCACGTCTTTCCAGTGCTGGAACACCTACCGCATAGAACAAAAGCCGGCACATTGATTACAGCTTTGATGGTGTTTGTTAAGAAAGCTTAAGGGCCACATTTGCATTTCTGCTGGAGCCTTCGGGAATCTTTGCCTGTGTAAGGATTGCCTGGTCTTTAAGCAAGGCTCAGTGTTCATCTTTTTAATTTTCCTTTTCGATATTCTGCAGAAGCATTAATTTTTTCCTAGCTTATATCTGAAAAGAGAAGTGTGCCACTAATGGGGTGTTTTGTTATGGGTCTATTGATTCACAGAAATAGGGAATTTAAAAACAAAAATAAAAAACAAAACCAAAAAAAAAAAGCACAAAGGAATCGTATTAGTGAGACAGAAAGAACTATTCTTAGGTACTCTATCGGGATGGTAACTGTTTTCCAGTAAAAGCAAAGCTACAGGCTGAGCTGAAGGCAAAGAGCAAAGTGGCGAGCAGAAGCCCACGTGGCTACTGTTTGTCAAGGCTGTGACATGAGGGCTGCCATTCGCGCAGGGGACAGGCGCCCTGGCACGTGCTTCACCTAACCTGCCTTCAGCAGCGCCACCGCGAAGGCCTCCTGCCCTCAGCTCGCCAGGGAAAATGGGGAGGGCAGCAAAAAGACCAAAGAGAACAAGAAGAAAAAGGAAAGACAAAGCTGCCTTGATTCAGTGCCCACCAGCATCACTGAAATCTAAACATAGCCTTGAAAATTCTTGTAAAATCAGACCTAATTCGTTATATACCCTCTTTGTGAACCTTCACTTTGTAGACTAGCATTTAATTCCCAACACTACCAAAATTCCACCTTTTACATTTCAAATGCTACTACAACAATTTAACTTAAAGATACAACACAAGAGTCAAAAGCTTTCCACCCAAAGTGGACTCCTCACAAGGAACACGCTTCTTTCCGGACCTGTTTTGACCTGCTCCTACAGGGCTCTCAGCTGCATATGGCAGTGGTGCCAGTGGGATTTTGTGCTATGCCAGGGGTGTTCCCAGCACTGGAATACACCCCCTCTGCTCTGTCCTTCTGATAATCCAGTCTAGCAGGTAACAGTAGCTGCTACAAAACCCTTGCAATTTAGATGGAGGCAGGTTAGAAGCAGATACCACAAGCAGTTAACATGAATGTGTTAAAACAGCAGTAAACAGAAGAAGCAGCTCTAATATATTGAATTTATACAAAAATAAATACAGGTATTGTTTTAAATAATACTTTGGTTCTCAAGGCTTGTTGAAGTTTGGTTGAACCTGTCAAAAGGCCCTTGAATTAACAGACCATAACTTACATTTGCCTTAGAAGCAGATACCACAAGCAGTTAACATGAATGTGTTAAAACAGCAGTAAACAGAAGAAGCAGCTCTAATATATTGAATTTATACAAAAATAAATACAGGTATTGTTTTAAATAATACTTTGGTTCTCAAGGCTTGTTGAAGTTTGGTTGAACCTGTCAAAAGGCCCTTGAATTAACAGACCATAACTTACATTTGCCTTTTTTTTTTCTTGTAATTATACATAAAATTTCTGTCCAAACTTTGCTAGACAATTGTTTCTACATTGTCTTTGATTTTTTTTTCCTTCCACATTGTCGTGCTCTGAGAATAAATATGCTATGACAGACATGAATACTAACAAAGGACACAGAAGATGGTCTAAAATGCGTCTATCAGCTGCTATATCAGATTATTGATATATCTTGTAACATACATTTCAAAAACAGCAGTGAAAGAAAAACCAGAACCACCTAGGTTTTGACTGTGGATTTTTTCTTTACCTTTGCTTTTCAGAAAGAGACAAGCAATGCAGACATAGAAAAAAAAAAATCTGTTTCTTCATTTCCAGCACCTACACCATATCTCCTGAACATGGTCATGAAAAGTCAGAAAAGAAAACACATATGCACATATGTGTAAAACTTAATAGTATCCCCCAAGTTAATATCACCAAATAGATGAACCGTAAGAGTTACTGCCATAGAGCCCATATCTCCTGCCTTGGCAAATTCCAACACAACAGTACACACAATCTTTGTAAGAAGACCGAAAGCCAAAAAATGGCTTTTAGGAGACGCCAGCAGCTAAAAATGGATTTAATTCTCCAAGGAAAAATTGTTTGACAATCTGTAATGCAAAGAACAGATCTTAAACAGTGACATTTGATATTCTCTTTGTCTCTTTTTTAGATGACGAAGAGCATGAATGGATCGTTCGGACCTGCCGGAAAGGTTGAGATAAAATAACTGGAAATAAATCTAAACAATGAAAACAGCTTTTTGCTAGATGATACTATTACAAAATAGGTAATTTGATTCGTGATAAGTCTAATTTGTCCATGTAGATTTATATCACTTTTTTCCTCTATGGGAATATCATCTTTTCTGTCATCTTTGTCAGCTTAAACAAAAATGGAAATAATCATTCAATCAGTCATTCTAAAAAAAAAAAAAAAAAAAGCCATGGAAAAAAAGAAAAGCAGACTGTACTCATAATAATATTCCCGAGAGGTGTGCAGTGTAGTATACATACACGTTATTAAGCCTGAAAACAATTTGTTAAAAAGAGTGCCTCAAATTCAATGTCGAAGTCATTCAAATCCATCTTAATCAACATTATTTTCCCAGATTTTAGTTAGCTGTCCTGGTGAATTCCTTTCCTCTCTTTTTGCTCAGTACTTTGATATTGATTGATCATTGTAATAATGTACACCAGAGGTATTCTTTAATGACTGGTTTGCTAACTAGGAAATTATATCCATTTACTACGAACGTTTGTTGAACTCTCCTGAAGCCAGAGTTTAACAAAATAATAAAAGAGGAAAACTGGGTGGGTTGCTGCTTGATTAGTAAGCCAGAAAGTATTTAAAAATAAAATAAAATGGAATTACATCATTTTCTGGATGTAAGTGCCAGCACTTCTACTTGCATTAACTTTATTTATTACACAAATAAGACATTTACAAAGCACAACATTAAAAGTATGTAACAAAACAGACATTGGTTTTACAAAAAAGTGCTTACAATTTAATTTTACTTTTTTTAAAATAAATATTAGTCTTGACCGTCCACTCATTCAGAGAATTCTTTAACCATTGTAGCCAAGATATGCATAATTGCAACATGCTACAACAAAATGATTGGCTGACGAAATAAAATTGACATGTCTCTAATTGGCATCATACAGCTATATCACCGAGAGTAGTGCAGGATTGAGTCCCACTCCCCCATCCCAACTAATAAGTCGTGTAAGCACCTTTAGCTAGGGCATTGGGGTTAACCAGCGTGAGCCAAAATAATAATAATAATAATAAGGTAATAAAACTGTAAACCATTCCACTTTCAGACCCTCACCATATTTAATTTCCATATTAAATTGGAGTGAAAAGCCTTTCATTTGCTATCTTCATTGGATTTTTTTCTGCAACAAAGTTTCTGTAAATAGCAACTGGAAAAGTTGAATACATATAGAGTCCTCATTACTGCACCAAAATCCATTCGGCAATTACTGAATAACTAAAAAAATGAGAAGGTGTTTTTGTTTTTTTCTTTCTTTCTTTCTTTCTTTCTTTTAATCTATATGCAGGAGATGAATGCAAATGACCTGAGATAAGGTTTGGTTCAGTGGCAACAGTCAGTGTGAAATCTGCTGTGAAACAATGTACTGAATAAATTAGAGGATTTCTTACATTCTTGGTACAGTGGAGTATTTTCCATACGTATAATTAGCGCTAAAACAGCACAAGCTGAATTGCTTCCAGTTTTTGTGAACAATTTGGGCTTCATCTAAACAGAGCCTGATTTCTGAATTAGCAAAGCTGCTCCTGGCTACTTGCTGGGGAAACTGCCCTCGAGCCCAGTTTGTGCAGCACAACTGGCTGTGTGGTTAGTGGTGATCCCTCTCCCATCGCACAGGTTTGGTCAGAACATCGACTTTACCTCAGCCCTGCGCTTTGCGCTCTGGTTCTGCCAGTGGTATCGCTTACAAAAAAACCTTTGATATACAGTACATTTCACAAGTGTGATTTTTTGCCTTTTTTTTGTTTTTTTTTTTTGATCATTAACTAAGTTGCTATTTAGCAGATAGGTACTTAATAGTCTCCCTTTCGTTGCACTGCTGAGCCGGAACACAAACGCATCAGACCATTCTCTCTGTCAGCAGAACAGCTGTGGGAATCTCAAGCAGCGCGGGGTGCCGGTCACGTTACAGCCTGGGAAACCTCCCCGAACGGCTCCCCGTTAGTTCAGAGCACTAATCCCACACCTGGGCAATCGCTGGAACACGCAAGGAGGAGAAAGTTGGGCCCCGGTGACCCTGCCAACCACCTTCGCCTTCTCCGCGCTATTTCAAGCGGACACAACCACTACGACAGCCTTGCAACGATCAACACCACGAGCAGCGCTAGCGATAGACACGGGCCAGGCCTTGTGCTCATTTCTGCAGCCGAGGAGAAAAGTGACCAAACTGAATGCCCCTTTTAACTCATTCCTCCCCAAAGGGACACTCCTGGAGTGTGGGCCCAGGCAGGCCATGGCTGCAGGAGGGTCTTGTCATGGTTTGCACATTGGAAACAATCACTTGCCTGTCAGGAGGTGACAACAATACATCACAGGCCTAATTTCCTCCCTGCTTTGGAGCATCAGTTTAAATTGGAGGATAGACCTGTTAGCTGCTTGGTGCAATTAGCCAGAATACTGGTCTAACTGTCCAAACTGCTACCATCACTACATATATATACATATATATATATATATATTCATATATATATATATATATATGAATATATATATGTATTCAGCTACTTCTCAGATGGAGAGTAGCACCTGGGCCGAGCCCAGCTCTCCCTGTGGCCGCCTGCACTTGCCATGGCCAGCGTGCCCAGCCTGTGGCCGCCTGCACTTGCCGTGGCCGGGGTGCCCAGCCTGCTGGGGAAGGGCTTCCCCTGCCTGGGCACCACCCGGCTACAGCAGCGGGATGGCTGCCCGCTCAAGAACCATCCAGGATCCCCAGAGGGAATCACACACGCATCCACAGTCTGAATGAAAAACAAGTTCTGTAACCGCCGCGGCCCCGTGCCCTGCTCCCCGGCGCGCTGCGCTCCCGTCACACACTAAGCAGCTTTGCGCTCTTGGAAATGCCACCTCGCAGACACGGAGCCGCTCGAGACCTACGTGCTTGCGTGGAGAGCGGGTTTGTTACAGAGCTAATCTTGGCTTGGTGCAAGCTGAGCAGGGCTGGCAAACGCTACTTGTTTACTTTTTGTTATTACCATCAATGAAGGATAATTTCAGAGCTTTTTTCCTGAACTGGGGCCCGAGTGCCGAGTACTTCCTTCGCCTGCACCGCCTGCTCCCCCGAGAGCTGCACGTGTTGCTGGAGTCCCTGCTGCAGGCTCCGTGCTGGAGCAAAGCATTTCCTCGCGCCTACGGACCAGCCTCCCCGGGGATGCCCCAGGCCCGGCCACTGCATGGCAAAGGGGTCTGCGTAGGTGCATCCTGCAACCACCCAGTTGTAATCCAATACAAATCCAAAGAAATAAAGTAGCTTGTTAGTAAGATATAAAAAAAAAAAGAGGATTTGGCAAATGGCTGTGAGACAGAGATATATTCAGTGCTCTGAGAACGAGTTGACAATCAAAACTGAGTGCTTAGCCTGGCTCTGCCACCAATGCCCAGTGTCCCCTTCAGTTTAGGGCATCTCAGTTTCCCCTCTTATAAAATGGAGGAGGAGGGAAACCCTAAAATTTACTTACCTTGCAGAGTGAGCAAAGGACATGTGGTTCTAAAGCACTTTGAGGAGGAAACTGCCTATTTCCAGCGGGCTTCATGGTTTCCACTTAGTGGAGTCACAGCTCCAGTGCATTTGGCTCAGGAAGTTCTGTATCTGTGTTAAGCTGCTAAGCCAAAGAGCCCATTTCGTATTTCACCCATGCGAGCGTAAGGAAGGAGGGATGTCCTGGAACCAGCAGCGCTTCACTGGTGCAAAAGAGAATCAGGCCAAACCGCTTGAATTCCTCCTCTCCTGGCATCGACTGGTGGTCATCGAACCCCCCCGGGCCTCGGCATTTTGTCCATATTCCCGTGACTTCGGAAGCAAGATTGTAAGCACAGTAGAGTCACTAATTTCGACTGCGTTTGGCATTGCCTTGGAGAGACTCACTGTCATTCTACAAGTCCACAAGAAACAAGTGAAAAATGTAACTGTGCACTCAAAACACACATACACAGAGTGTCGCTGGAGAAATAATAGTGGCTGTTGGATGCTGGTCAATGGAAACAACTGAGAATGATGGATTTGAGTTTCTCCTGCATGACGGATCACAGTTGCCTTGGACTGGACACTGCATGTCAACGACTGAGGGGCAGTAGTGCTGGTAGCGTCATGGACAGATGAGGAAGAGTTCGCGCAGTCAGTACTGAAAGAGGATGACCTAGCGGGAAAAAGGTGAATTGAGCGTTAGCTGCTTTAAAACAGACGCGACACGCGACACACGACCCATCGGGTGCTTCTAGGGAAGGGCAAGGAGCCCACGTGCCCGCAGCAGGCTGCCCCGTGGAACAGGGCCTTCCTGCAGCCACCGCCTGCCTTGAGCCTCCTCAGTCCTGCCCACGACACCCAGCAACGTGAGCTCCAGACACCACACACAGGAGATAAATTAAGATGTATATTACCATATTTCACTAAGTGAGAGATGCACCAACAGATACTTTGCTGTAAGCTTCTGTTACACCATACAACAGTTTGCAAGCAGTAGTTTTTTGCTCTGTGATATCCTCTACAACAACCACCAAGAAAGATTAAGACTGTTATCAGTCAAGTGTCCTTAATCTATGCTCTGCTTTGGTATCCGTCATGCTTCCCTCAAACCCCGGGTCAGCCTGGCTGCTCCCTGGGCGCGTTACCTGCCCTCGCCTTCAGTGGCTGCTATGGGCCGGATGCCCCCAGGCAAACATGGTACTCGCCTGCACGTGCTCCTCTCCATGCAGCAGGAGACGGCAACTCATCATTTATGCATTTTTTTTCCCTCAGGATTTTAATTATCATTGTTTGAAAAAAATTTGAGATGCGGAAAAAGATACAGCTTCAGGAATTCCAATTTGTTTGGGGGCAGCTGCATGTCCTGCGAACCTAGTCCTGCAACATTTGCAAGACAGCAGTCACATTTCAGTCACAGAAACTAATTGCTGCAATGAGGTTTCTTTGACTTACAGAATCAGGACTAAGGCCACAGTGTGAGTTTTTTTTTTTTTTTTCAAATCTTGACTTTTTACTTTGTAGATATCATGACGAAATGGTAGCATTTAAACTGAGAAAGTAACTTTGCCAGTTCTTATCAAAACAGAGTTCAATAATCTAGAGTTGCTGCACTGCTTAAAGAGAGATCTGAAAAAAGAAAGCTGATAACTTCTAAATGTAAGGATGAAAGCTAAAACCAAAAAGAATTGCCAAATTTTCCTTTTTTTTTCTCCAAAAAAAGAGCCACTTGAACTCGATTGCTAAATAATGTCTTCTGAGCCTAAGCATGTATATGCAGTTTCAGAAGTCTTTCCCAGAAATGAATTGTATGTTAGAATGGACAAATACTGAGTGTTCAAGCAAAACATATTGATATGCAGCAGTGTTTCCTAGCCAGGCATTGTGAAATAACATTTCTACTGAAGATCTTGTAACAAGCAGTTGTTATTTTTTAAGCAATACTGGAATCCCCAAGAAATGTGTCTTTCATGTTAACTCATGGAAAACTGGATAGTCAGCACACGGCTGTGGTCCTCCCTGCTCAGCTATGAACAGCCATTTGGCTCTGGTGCAGGGAGCGGAGCAGAAGGAAGCTCATGGCCACACGGGAAGCTCATGGCCATGCAGAAAGGGAAGATAAGGAGGATAAAGAAGAGCTCAGGCAGGAGGACAGCAAAATATATCAAGGAATCCAAGCAGAGCATCACAGCACCTCCCGCCAACGAGGAGCATTTAGTGGAGAACAAACAGCATTTTTATCAGCAAGCAGTACATCACTTAGGGCCACCGAAATAAAGAAAACGCAGACTGAAAGCTGCCGAGATCACCACGAAGCAGTGACGTGGTCGCAAGGAGGCAGCCGCCGTCGCATGGTACAAGAAAATCTACAGCTGAGGCTTGGAGATTTGGAGCCCGAAGCCCGACCGGCGGCTGCAATTACCTTCTCCCCCCTGTTGGAGAGCGGCCCCTCCATGTCGGCCTTGAGGTGCACGGGCGGCGCGCTGTAGGGCAGCCTGCAGTGCACTTGCCCGCACTGTACCTGACCTGCGGGCGACAAGAGGCTTCAGCCCCGCTGTGCCCAGCCGGGCTGCCAGGCCGGGAGCACACGGGACACGAGGGAGAGGGGGAGCTTCAACAGGGGCAGAGGGCCATGGGGCTGAGGGGGGAGCCTCCTCGTCCCAAAGGCTCCAGCCTGGCAGCCAGCAGGGACCAAAGCCACCCCCGCTTGGCCCCGACTCAAGGAATTATTAGAAAAAGCAACTTGGGTCTAGTAAGGAGGAAGGAGAGCGCCTGGGCCAAGCTAAACGAGGCAGTTGATGCCCATTCTCCTTGACAAAGGGGAAGGTGAGGAGAGGTAACGGCCCATAACGAGACCCAAGCGGTGGCTTCCCTAGGGATCCTAAGGCAGGCGCTGGGAAACCCCCTCACCCCTTCCCCGCTGGCTGCTGCTTTTCTTACTGGGGACATCCCAGGCAATGGGCCCTTCAAAAACCCCCAAAGGGCAAGGTGAAAAACTTCACCCCTGAGGAGGAGGAAGGCAGGCCCCACAGCGCTGAGAGCACCCGGAGACCCCCCCATCATCCTGCCACCCCCAGGCCCCTCCGTCCCCGAGCCCCGCGCGCTGCGGCCACCCTCCCTCCGGCCCCGCTTACTTTCTATGTAGCCGTGCAGGGTCACCATCCTGGCCCTCTCCGGGCTGCTGAATGGGGAATAGTGGATGTCATCGGGGAGCGAGGAGGGGATGCGGGACGGCGGCGCGCCCGAGGGCGGCACCGTGTGCTGCGGTGTGTGTTTTTTATGGCGTGCTCGGCAGTTTTGAAACCAAACCTGAAACACCGAGAGAAACGGCTGCTACCTGGGTAAAGAGATCACGCACCAGGGCTCTGAGACGACGCTGTGTTCAAAGCATTTGCAAAAGGGAATCACGTATTTCCCTGCTCATCCACGACCACACAGAGCTCCATCCGGGTTCTCCATCGCAGCGGTAACGTGGGCAGAAGGGACTTGGGCAGGTCTTACATGGGCTGTACCCCCAAGCCCAGCTAGCCCAGGACCCGGCCCCGACCAGCAGGAGAAACACGTGAATAGAGATGGGATGAGACCAAGGGACTTAAAACCAAGGAAAAGCTCAAACCAGGAGAAACTGTAATTTAAGGGAAGATAATACTGATGTCATGTTAACCAGTGATGTTTTATGCCATTAAAAATTATGCCAGCACAACATGAAAGCAGAGAAGTGAGGTACCAGGTCATAACACACAGAGCTATTTCGGCCAACTGGCAAGAGCCTTCCCACCAAATCTCACCCTTTTAATTAGAGAATAGTTGGGGATTCCACCTCAGATTTAAAACATGCATAAAGCTCAGTTGTTCTTTTTTTGCTATTTTCTCTCATATGTCTTCATTTCTGAAGATAGCTGGGAGCAGCCGTGTAGCAGGACAGGGAAGGGAGGATTACTGACAACCCAGGGCCAAAGCCGGGGTGTCCCCAGGTCCCCAGGGCTGGCACGTGCGTGGGGGCGCTTGCACCCGCGCTCACCTGGATGACCCTGCGGCTGAGCCCCGTCATGTCCGCGAGCTTCTGCAGCGTCTGCGCGTCGGGGTT